CATACATGTAAGTTAGAAAATATGTGTGCAGTGAAAAATGAAAGACATGGAAGAAACTTGAAAGACATATTACTAAATGAAAGAAGCCAATCTGAAAAGGCTACAAACTATGATTCCAACCAAATGACATTTTGGAAAAGGCACAGCTACAGAAACAATAAAAAGATCGTGGTTTCCAGGGGTTTGGGGAGAGGGAGAGAGAGGAAGGAATGAACAGATGGAGGACAAGGGATTTCTAGGGCAATGAAATTATTCTGTATGATACCATAGTGGCTACATGTCATTATGGATTTGTCAAAACCCATAGAATGTACAACATCAGGAGTGAATCCTAATGTAAACTATGGATTTTGGTTGATAATAATGTGCCCATGTTGGTTCATCGACTGTACCAAATATGCCACACTGATGAGGGATGCTGAGGGGAGGGGAGTATATATGTGTGGGTGGGGAGGACCATGTGCGAACTCTTATTTTCTGCTCAGTTCTATTGTGAACCTCTTTTAGAGCAGTTTAAAAGTCTATTAAAAAATAAATATAAATATTAAAATTTTTTTAAAAAACTGAATCACTGTGCTGTACACCAGAAACTAACATAACTTTGTAAATCAACTATACTTCAATAAAAAAAAATTTTAATGCAAAAAAAAAGTTTAACTAAATGGGCTTTAAAGAAATCACAAGCCGGCCTCTTCCCGACAGCCCGCCCCGCATGCTCAGAGCAGTTTGCAGAACAGAAAGGTGCGCTGCGCTCCCGGGTTTCGTTTTCTACTGGAACACAGTTAGGAGGACGGCAGCTTCTTACTTGGTGCTGCGTCTTAGTCTCCATGTGCCCCAGCTTCGTGTTCATCTTGTCCTGCACCGATATCAGCTCTGCTTTGATCTCCTCCACCGTTGCCTCCAGCTGATTCTCCAGCTTGTTGATGAGGGGTTCACATCGACAACCATTTATTGGTGCCTGAGAGGGAAGCCAAAAACAAAATCAAACCAACTGCTTTGTTCTTTCCACAAGCATGTGTCCAGTGTCCACTGTGTGCCAGTCAGTGTAGCGGGGGAACACATACGATGGAGGATCCCTGTCCCTGTTCTAACTTTACTGTCTGACAAGTCAAGCTTCGGGTCCAGCAGGCGCTAAGAAGATGCAGAGAGGGTAACATCCAGTCCCAATCTTCAAACTGCTATAATCCATTCCCCCGCCTCGAGATTATCTAGTCAGATGAGGATGGTGCAGAAAACTACCCTGATGCTCGCCTACGCAGCAGAGTGTATCTGCAATGTTTAGGTGAGGAGGGCCAGCTGGCTTATGTTCAAAGCTCATGCGTTCTTCAGTCACCGCCTAGAGTGGACATCAGCCCCCAGCAACAGTGTTACACAGGTGCCTCGCTTATGGCCCACGGTCATGTCCTGACAGGGCCCAGCAGGTACCTGCATCACTTTCCCGTCCTTGCCCCGGTACAGCGTGTAGAGCTGGTACGCTCTGAACTCGTGGGGAGGGGGCGGGGGCGAACATCGATGCCTGGGCCTCTTTTTAGGGTGACCATGAGTGTGCAAGTTCTTCTGCTGTCCGGGCTGTTGGTCCGCTGGTGGGGTGGGGTCAGAAAATGCTGACACCTGCAGGAGAGGAGGAGACAACTGCCCTGAGCGCTGTGGGATCTGCAAGCCTGACACCTAGCCCGCAGCTCCCATCTCACCCGCTTCTGGGGCAAAGAACCCCACCTTGCTAGTCTCACAGCGTCCTACTCCAGGTACCACATGTTAAAAAGGATGTATTGGGGGTGGGTATAGCTCAGTGGTAGAGTGTGTGGTAGCAAGCACAAGATCCTAGGTTCAATCCCCAGTACCTCCACGAAAAAAAAAAATTTAATTTAAAAATACATAAATAAACCTAATATCTGCCCCCCCCAACAAAAACAAACAAAGGACTTATCGGCATGCTAACCTGGTGTCTGCAGCCAGCCAGCTCTGATGTCTGTGCTCTGGCTCCAAACCAGCAAGCCAGCCAATGAAGTGGCTTTTCGGCGTTGGGCATGACGCTATCACAGGGCCCTCCGCCAGCCCGCCCCCCAGCCCTCCCGGCTGCTCTCACGTGCCTCCTGACCTTGGGCCTGGGCTTTCTCGGCCGGCTGTCCTTTGCTGTGGGCTCCGGGGAGGCAGACAGGAGATCTTCTCTGGCCTCTTCTTTTCTGGGTGCGGCCTGTTCACTGCTGTGAGTGTCTCCTGCTGAGACACTTCCCTACAGAGCAGAAAGAAGCCCAGAAACCTGTTCTACTTGAACCCCTCAGCCTTTTTCAATAATGGCATAAAGTTTCCAAGACTCCATCCACTAAAAGGACCCATGGGAATCCTCGCCAATGACAAATTTCAGACAGAGGGAGCACTGCTTGGTGGTCTTAACTGAACACGTGTGCTTCTGCTGGGGAGTTGAATATTTGGCTTTTACTTTATTTATTAGATGCCCAACTAGATACAGCCTTGGGTCTAATTCTGTGTTCTAGAACTTCAGGAACCCACACACAAAGTGACTCAGCATTAGAGATTTTTGGTTTTTTGCATTTCAACCAAAAAGCAACCCCACTCATTCTTTGAACTTGGACCGTCACAGCTCAAAGAGAAGAGTAAAAACCCTCTGAAATGGGGGGATGGTCCTTGTGAGAACTTTCACAAATTAAAATGTACAATTCACACATAAGAACTTAATCAGAGTTACAAAGCCTTAACCCTGAAAATTGATAAGATTTTCAAATGGACAGAAAAACAAGTACTTGGTATAAAATTTTATGTGCCAAAATTTGTTTCTATATCCTAGTCTTCTTCCTCCTGGGAGACCTAAAAGGCATGGTTCATTCCCTGGCTGCCGTGTACAGTTGGGCAAGCTGTTCACTGCACAAAGGCACCTAGCCAAAGGTGTGATGAGGGCAGAAGGAGTGGAAATCCAGCTCAGGCTCTGTTCACCATATGTGCCCTGTACTGGGCCACTCTGGCATCTTTTTCTAATTTGTACAAAGGAGGCATGTGGGCCAGCAAAGCCTCGGTTTACTCCCTAAGCGGAAAGAGGCAGAGAGCTATGCCAGTGGTCCTCAAACTTCAGTCCACATTGATATCACCTGGAGGGCTCATTCAAACACAGATTGCTGGGCCCCACCCCAGAGTTTCTAATCCAGTGAGTGGGCCTGGGGTGAGGCCCCCAAATCTGCATTTCTAACAAGGTTCTGGATGATACAGTGGGTATTACATTTTGAAAACCACTGTTCTACACAATGAAAGGTGTGTCGTCAGGGAGGCAGAGCCAGTAAATACAGCCAGACAAGGGTGCTGGTGGCACACACACACAGCCTGAAATCGTGAACAAGAGGCCACAAGGAAAGCCGAACAAGATTTGAAGGACCCAGTGGAAAGAAGAGACAGAGGGCCTGGCAGCCACCAGACAGGCCCAGAGGAGGCAGGGAGATAGGGTCCCCCCTGTAAGTGGGCGGGCTACCCCCCACCTTGCTTTGTGCCACCTCATCTCTCGGCACAGACTGAGCTCTCCTCTCTTCCTTGAGCCTTTCTCTCTTTTTCCTCAAGCTTCGCCCACGACTGAAGCGCAAGACCTGAAGGAGGCAAGAGGCATCGTTACAAACCACTGGCATGCACGGCGTCAACATGAGGATGCTCCTTGGACCTAACAGAGCCTCCAGCCTAGCGGGAGAGACCAAGCGATCACATCAGACAAGCGCCTCGAGACCACCTGCTATGCCTCCCACGTCTTGTGCTGGGCACTTAGAGACCCAGAGACAGGTAGGACATCGTTCATGACCGTGAGGAGCTCACAGTCTATGGCAATAATGCTAAGAGACATTTACGTGCTGGGCCAGGGCAGCCATGCAGGTGTGAGCAGGCTGTGCACTGCTCAACTCCAGGGAACACCACTCACATAGACTAGGATGTGAACAGTGCCCCCTGGAGTTGCTGTGGCGGGCAGCCCCATGCCAGGCAGTCTCACTATCCTGGGACACTTGTCCCAATCTAGCCCATCAGACTCTCCCTTGGCCAAATCATATCCAAGTCATATTCAATGTAATTCCAACATAATCAAGGTACATAGGTTGGCAAGCCAGGATACCAACCACAGGGCAGGAGTCTCTTTCCCAGAAGGAAGCCTCTGGTCTGCCCCTTTGAGTGCAGAGAGGTGGGGTAGACACAGGTGGGATGGACACATGGGGTCCTACGGATCCAGACTGGAGCCGAGCAGCAGCTAGCTGGAGATCTACGGGCAAGTTATCTGACCTCCCTGTGCTCTGTCTTCTCAAATGCGAGAACAGGGAGTTGCTGGGATTAACTGAGACAAAGTAGGTGGCTGGCACACCTTGGACTGTCAGTCCCCGTCAGGTGCCTCCCACCTGCCTAAGTGGGGTTAGGGTTGCTTTAGTTGGCAGAGATGTTTAATCAGAGTACAGATCTCTGAGCTGGCAGAAAGCTTCAGTCTCTGGCCCAGCTCCACACCCTTCCCTCAGACCCCTACTCCCGGTTCCAGGGTTCACCCCCTTTTAAAAAGCCAAGGAGGTCCAGAAAGTGAAGACACTTTCAAGGTCACACAATCTTTCAGCAATAAAATATTTCATTGTCTTCTTATACAGACAGATAATGGCTCTCTGAAGTTAAGCCCAGTGACTTTCATCTCAATGTCAGACTTTCTTCTTGTGTTCATTAAATTCAAGTGACACCATTATAGGACAAAAAGAACCTCTATGGGCAGTGGGTACTACCTAAATGGGAAGTTCCTGCCAATATCTGCCAGCAACTGAACCACATTTTATAACTGTATTCTTATCCCCTAAGCCAGCAGTTCTGAAATTGTCCAGGGACCCCTGGGTCCATGAAGTTAAGATTATTTTCATCACATTACAATAACATTGGCTTTTTTCACACTCTTTCTCTCATGAGTGTATACTGTGGTGTTTCCCAGAAGCTGCATGAGGGATATTATGATCGACTGCAGACAGAAAGAGAGATGAGAATTCCTCTGTCTTCTTGTAAGACAGTAAGGAGATTTGCAAAAAAATGTAAAACAAAGAAACTCTTTCACTCAATTTTTGTTTTGAAAGATTTTTTTTAACAAAACAATGTTATTTGTTACCACAAAATGGACTTATTTTTAAATGAATATCTTAAGTGTTTTTTTATCAATTTTGTTTTCAAATATGGTAACTATTGGTAGATATAAATTCACACAAACAAAGCTCTTTATGGGTCTCTGAATATTTAAATAAAAGGGTCCTTTGACCAAAAAGGCCTGAGAACCACTGTCCTGAGCTAAACTTAGACTCAGATGAGTCTGATAAAGGGAAGCCACTCATGCTTGCTGCTCATCTGCTTTATCGACGCTTAGGACACAGTTCCAGAAGCAGCCTGAAATTCACCTTCCGAAGCATTTGTGAACCACGCCACATCAAATGAGAAGTAACACTCAGTTTACCCAAAGGCAAAATCATCAGAAAAATTCCCTGCATAGACCATGTTATTAGCCAGTGAAAACACCTTTGCATGGCTAACAGCCTTTCTCAGAGAACCATACCGTCTACCAAGTAGGCCATCACTGATCTTTTCTACTTCACAGAGATCAGGGAATATTGATCTTAAGGCCCTGGAAAGCAATATTCTCTTAGTACTGCATCAAAATCCATGGTCAGCTACGGTGCCAAGGCAAGGGGATTTCTTGTTTCAGACAAAAATAGTAAGGCTATTTCTGTAGCTACAGGTCAACCGAACAGCATGCAGGCAACTTTACGCATATTCCAAAGCTTTTTCTTTGTGTTGAAAATAAGGTTTAGCGTGAACAACCATGCAAAAAAACAAAAAACACTTCCAAAAAAATGTCATCTGGTTTATTTGCTATCCAACATGGGTGTGAAAAAACTTGCTTAAGTCATTTTTTAAATGTAAACACTAAAGAAGAACTACATAGGAAAATGCTCCACAAGAGAGCTCTATCCCTGGGCTCTGGAAGATAAATGACAGGTGGGTTAAAGACACAGTAGTCTGTGTGCTGGGGGACACTCCACCCTACAAGACTTGATGATTCTAAAATGGTTGAGCATAAGGCTGGCTGTCCATCAAACTGCCAGACACCGAAAAGCCAGGGAACTGATGGATTCTAACACTTAGATAGCACCCTGGCCTTTTTGATCCATGAGGGACTCGCTTTTTTCTATCAGGATGCAGAGGAGACTCTGCGGATGATCTGTTTGCAAACAGTTGGAGAGGTGGGGCTTTTTTCCCCAAGGAGCCCCGGACTCGCATCTGTGTCAGGGGCTCGATAGATTTCCAGAGCCCACTGAGAAGGACCAACTCCACAGGCAAGGGGGTGATTGTCTTGTGCACGACAAAGATTTCCAGAAACTGCTAGTTATATCAGGCATGTTTTTAAAACCTAAATGGAATAAAGGTCACGAAGAACCGTGGACTGGCTGGGACTGGGCTACAGGATGCAGCAGGCTGGGGTCCAGAATATCCCTCTGGCTTCCTGAGATTGTCTTCTTGCAACATGAGCCAGAATAAGGTGGAAAACTAATCAGTGTTTTCTGTAATGTCACACAGACTAGCTCCAACTGGGAAATGACCTAAATGTCCAACATTAAGGAAATGGTTTAATATTGGACAGTGACCAAAAGAGAATACTATGCTTCCATTACGATGAATAATTGTGAAGACTGCAGAACACTTTTCTCTTATGGTTAGAATAAAGGACAGAACACAAAAGGGGAGCATACACTGTAGGCACAATTATATAAAAATTGTGTGTCTGTGCAAACACTGTATGATCTCATATACTGAACCTAAAATGAAAAAAAAAATCAAACTTGTAGAGAAAACACTGGTGGTTGCCAGAGGCAGAGGGTGATGAATGGGTAAAATGGGTGAAAAGGGTCAAATGATAAAAGCTTCTAGTCATAAAATAAATGTCCTGAGGATGTAATGTACAGAAAGGTGACTATAGTTAATACTATACTGTATATTTGAAAGTTGCTAAGAGAGTAAATCTTAAAAGTTCTTATCACAAGAAAAAATTTTCTAACTTTTTGGTGACAGATGTTAACTAAACTTATTGTGATCACTTTGCAATATATATATAGAATCATTATGCTGTACACTTGAAATATAAGGTTACATGTCCAGTATATCCCAATAAATTTTAAAAATTATGTCTGTGGAAGGTAACATAAAAAGTTATTTCAGAGTGCTGAAGTTATAAATAACAAATTATCACTATTGAATTTCTTGGTTACCTAGATCACTTCAACCTGAGCTCAAATAAGGTATCAGTCATCTTAAATTGACATGATGATCAATATACCATTATTTAATAACGAAAATGATCCTGTACTCAGCTGCCTCTTGTGGACATTTACTGCTGTCTGCCCAGATGGACGCCCCCTCCCACCTTTCTCTGGGAAATGCCCCTTCTAACCACGTGGTCAAAGGGGTGCCCCCATCTTCTTAAAGCACCTGTCTTACTTGTTCAGGGCAATTACCCCAAGCCAATCATGATCTTCTACATTTTAAACTGGAACTGTTCCCTGGCTGGAAATTAAGATCCAGGAAACTGCTAGTGACAATGATGCAGCCACAGGCAGGAAACGACGCCCATTGGTGAGGAAGGGCCCACTGGGGTCTCTGGTCCTTTATCCTGGAGGCCCATGTGGATTCCCGCATTTCCCATTGCCTGGTGGGTAAGCCCATTAGTCTTCTACTTAGTTGGTTTGAACTGGCTTTAGGAGATCACAACCAGAGGAAGCCCAACGCCTCTGCAGCCCCACGTAATCAACACGACGAAAACGCAACAGATCCTACCTGGGGAGCTTTTGTGAGGAGAAGAGCAACTTCCGGATTGTTGTGGTAGCGTGCAGTCTCCAGCGGGGTCTGGCCTGCCTGAGGAAAGGCACAGGGAGGACAAGTGAGTGCGGGACACCAACCCTGCACACACACAGCCCAGCCGGGGCAGCTCTCCGGGGAGCGGGCAACCTAGCACTCAGGCACGCCCGCTCCCACGCTTGCTCAGTGAAACACAACCACATGGGACAGGGCCCTGCTCTCGAGCCTGAGCCCAGCCAATGAGGGCGCCCAGTCACACCTGAGGACTCAGCAACAGAGGGTTAAGTGCTAACAGGTGAGCAGTAAGCAATCTAGGAGGCAAAGGTCTGGGGCACCGCTCACCAAGGCAGGCTCCTGGAAGAGATGTGGGAGGTTAAAAATAAAATCAGACAGGGTCAAGGTAGAACATCTCACTTGAGGAAACACAAAGGATCATAAAGTCCAGCCAAGCAATGCGTTTTCCCTGGAGAACAGTGGAGATGACACCTGGAGGGGCTCAGAGTCTCGGCAACTGGATTGTGAAAAACAATTAGGAAGCTCTGGCCACAGCGGAGGCTCTAGAGAGAGTAAGCCAAAAACCCGAAGCTGGGAACAGTGGGATTCAAAGGAAGGGAAAATGCTCGAGGCATCACCCACTCCAGGTACTAGAGCTGGGGGTGGAGACAGAGGTGGGAGACTAGATACGGAAGCCTTTCCCAGCGTTAACACCGCAGACTCTCCACACGGTCGGCTCTGAGTCTGTTTCAGGAGCGCAGAGACCACAGGCCAGCCTCAAGGGAGAGGGGGCACCTGAGCTGGCGCCTGCTATGGGATCTGGGAGGGAGAGAGACACAGAGAAAAAAGGAAGGAGATACGATGGTTTTGGAGAAAACAGAGTTTTGAGGAAGATTAATTTGGAGGTCATTTCTTTGAGGACCCCCACATCTGTTTACCAGCCTGAAACTCACTTTCAGTAACGTCCACTTGCCAGTTTACTTGGGTGCCCTGACCCCTTTCGTGCCAGGATGTGCTCACTGAACTGTCTGAAGATGAGTCCTCAGGGTCTGTCAACTCACAGGGCTGCTAGGAGCAAGGGTCCTCTCAAGTCCACGCCTGCGGGCCCCAGGGTTGTGGTGTCCGCGCAGCTCCACGCTGAGCCCCGGAGTCGGCAGAAGTGGTGAGGTGGTAACAACACGCCCTGACTTGGAAAGGGGTGGGAATGGCTCTAGAAAGCACTGCTGCAGCCCCACTTACATTATTAACAATGGTTCCATCTGCTCCGGCTTCCAGTAAGATTTTAACCACCTTCTTGTGATTTAGGGCAGCAGCAATATGAAGTGCTGTGTCTCCAGCCTGAAATTAATCAGAAGAAAGCCGGCTAAAACCCATCCAGTCATGGCCCACAGCCCTCCAGCTTTTCATCCCATGGCCTGGTGGTGGCTTTTTAAAGTCAAACTGAGATTTATTTGCCTTAGACTGATAAGCGGCCCTTCGCTGAGATGTTAGGTGGTTCTTTTGAAAGATCTTGGAACTGAAAGAACTATGCACAAATACTGCATTCCTCTCACTGGGGATACCAGAAATCAGGGGACAGGATTAAATGCAGGGGGCATTTACACTAAGACTGGGCTGGTGTTGTCAAGAGTGGTGGCACCCGATGCTACAGCAGAGGCAGGATCATGGGCAGGTAGCCAGGTGCCCTGGACCATGTCCCTCTGCCCAGGCAAGGATGGGCAGGGAACCCACTGGCTTCTGAGCTAGAATGAGCAGAAGCTTCGAAGATGACTGCTTCTACAGTCCCTGGAGTAACAGCCGAGCCCTGCAGCCACCCTCGAGGACGTGTACAGGCCACTGGGAATCACCCAGCAGGCTGGGGTGTTTTCTGTCTGGGTGGAGTCACTTAACACCAGCTGTTTTCAACTTCTTACGAAATAGCCTAAGTTCTTTTTGTTGTTTAAAAAACGAACTGCTTGACTATCAGCTGTGCAACGCACAAATGCAGCTTGGGGGCCAATTCCAAATGCAGATGCTGTCTTTACTTCCCCAACAGAATGACAGCAATAAGTCAGACCAATGTGGGAGAAGTGAAGCAATTCGTTCTCTACTGGAAGGTGATCAAGAAGGCGCCCTGCTACTTTTCCTGGGCAGCATGGAAATCCAGCCACCCCAGGCCCTCCTCCCACAGTGAGCAGCAGGAGTGTTCATTTCACCTGAGTCACCTTGTTGTGTTTTGGGGGATGCTCTGGAGCCGTAGTTTCCAGTCTTGGCTGCTCAATGGGATCAGCTGAGAAGCTTTATAAGCTACTGATGCCTAGGTCCCACCCAGACATTGACTTAATTAGTCTCGGGTGTGGGCAGGGCGTGATAATTTCAGAGCTCCCAGGTGATTAAAATATGCCACCCAGGGTGAGAAGCACTGGTTTGGCGAGGGCTGTGTTGGGTCATCTAGTTCTGATGAACTAGAATCTGCTGGAAGGATGTAGAATGACAGTATTTAGCTATTTTATTAGGTCAGTGGTTCTCAATCCTGTCTGCACTCAGGCCAGGAGTTTTTTAAAAAACGAAACAATACATACCATTGCCTGGACCTCATCCCCAAATGTTCTAGTCACTTAAATCAGGGTGGGATTCAAGAATGGTATGTTTAGTTCCCCTGTTGATTCTAATATGCAGCCAGAGTCAGAAGTGACCATCACAGGGTATATTTAATTTGAATCACAATCTTTTTTTTAAAATTTCATATTTATGCACCCAAACTCAGAGAAGCCAAACAAGGCATCACTTAGATACCCATAAGTAACAAGACAACTTTTTAAAAATCCAAATGAATACTGAAAATCACACACATTTCCATAGGACGCTGTAATAGTCACAGCTTTATTTCAAAACCCCACTATAAAGCATATATCCTGATCATGTACTGAACTTCACAGAAACGAGAGACTATCAGCTCACATAAAGGTGGCAGTGCAAGGAACACAGCTCAGGAGTCACGCGACACCTAATTCCTTTGCGTATTTACCAAGTCACTCTTCCGTGTGGGTTTCCACTGAAAACAAAACCCTGCCTGGGATCTCCAGAAAATGTTCAATATGCAAACATGGTGATGTGCACTGGAATGATAAGGGCACGCTTTCTCCGGGAGGCCAGATAAGCCAGGACCATGGGAGGTGAGGGGAACACCCATGCCAAGACCAGGAGAGGGCACCCCCTCCCAACAGCCTCCCCCACCCCCGGTTTGTGCTAACACACCTGACAGCTAGCCACGAGGGAAGGGGGCTGACAGCCACAGGGAGGACACATGCACTGACCTGGTTCTTTTCATGGACAGAACAGAAAGCACTGAGGAGGAGCTTAATGATGGACAAGTGATTATAGCGCGCGGCAACGTGCAAACAGGTGTCGCCTGCCTGCGGACAGAAATCAAACTCTGAGCACAGTTTGAGCGGCTACAAAACAAAACAGAGAAGGTAACAAGAAACTCATTTAAAAGCTGGCAGACCAGCATGTACTCTTTAGAGGGTACTGGCCTGGATTATGAGCATCTCCTTTTCCACAGATGCTCACTCCATGACTCAGTCCTTTTCTGCCTGCAGCCCTGCTCTTTCCCACCACGCAGGCTCTGTTTCGGGTTTCAGATGCTGGATGCCTGCTCCCCTGGAGACCTTCATAAGCGCTAAGGCAGGCTCCGCTTAGCCAGCCCTTAATAAGACTCCATTACTCTCAGCTGCTCATTAATCCCAACCGCTCCTACAACCCCAAGGCTCTGCAATCTACTGATTAAAACCAAGAGCACTGCTTTGAAAATGAGACTTCCCCATTACAGATCCATTGTGGCTGAAAGGACCAGGGAGGCAGGGTGAGCCATAGGATTGTTAAGTGCTCTAAAAAAGTCAAGAGCATCCCATTTTAGTCGGGCCCCACTGTCCCACATGAAGCAGCGTACTCTGGGGGAACTGATGAGGAAGCAATTGCTGGGCATAGGAAAAAGCATTCAGAAAAACTCAGGATCAGGACCTTCCTTAGCAGTCACAGGCCAAACTGCTCCCGGAGGAAAAAAAAACAACAAAACTGGAGACAACATCGCAACGTTTTGCAGTGCTCCCCTAACATTACCACTCAACCTCCAGCTCTATCTAGAGATGGCAGCCCTCAGCATCACCTTCTCCCCTGGGTTAAAAGGAGCCAAGCTCAAAGCTGAGGTTCAGAGCAGGCTCAGAACCACCTTACATGAGCATGCTCCTCATCAGGGGGGCTGCAGCCAAGGTCATTTTGGAGAGACGCCTCAGTCAGATTCTCTAGGCGTGTGGCTAAGGGATGGAGTTGATCAAGGAAACACAGCTTCTGTGGAGGGAAGAGGGATGCCCACAAGACCCTTCAGGTCAGGAACCTCTATGAGCTACTGAACCATCAGCTCATCCCAAGGATGCCTCGGTAATGGATTTGTAGATGCTGGATGTGGAGTATCAGACGGCTTCCTGATACAGCATCAGCCAATATTTGCTTAGAGTACAACACTATGTGGGCAGAGGCTTCTTGAAAACATTTAGACTCATTTGCTAGACACCTGCTGTACGAAATGATAAAACAGACCAAGGCTGAGGAGTGAGGGGACAAGCATGGGAGAAAAAGTGTTTCCGCTGATTCCTCTTCCTAGCCCCTCCAGGACCCCTTAAAAATTAGCAAAAAAAATGGAATACTTTATTGATAGTCCCCACTTTTTACTTTTTCTATGCGTGAACACTCAAGCACGCTTTCAGGGCTATTTTTCGAGGGACACAAGAGCACGAGAGAAGGTGATTTTGTTCACCCACGTTATTTTTGAGGTCGGCACGGGACCCGCCCAGCAGGAGGACGCGGGTGCTCTGGGCGTGGCTGTTTTGGCAGGCCAGGTGCAGAGCCGTGTTCCCCGCCTTGGAGAGAGGCAGAGAGAAAGGAGGACACGTTAGGGACAAGCCTGTGGCAGGGTGAGACTTACAGAAGAAAGCAATGCTCACGGTCTGTTTCCCGATCGGTGGTCCAAGCTGGGGTGCTTCAGTGGCAAGAACATTTAACTGGGAGTCCAAACAGGCAGAAGAGTCACATCTGTCATAAAACCTTGCTTCTAACTCCTGGCTCTGCCACTTACTCATTGCAAGCTGCTAGGCAAGGCTCTTAATCTCAGCCTTGAATTCCTTACCTGTGAAGTGGAGCGTGACCTCTCCGTGCGGAGGCTGTGGAGAACTGATTCGGACTGCCTAGGAGAGCACCTTCTTAACAGCAAAATGCTGTGCACCTGTAGGGCGCTGTCAGTAAGTGCACCCTTTCCAATATGCTTAACAGCTGTGGCTACAACACGCTACCAATGGGGTAAGGAAAACCAAAAAAGGCCACTTTCTACACTGCAGACTAAAGGTAACAGATTTAACTAGCAAGCCTTTTTCAAACCTTGTTTTTTCTGGAAACATCAAAATTTGAACCATGGACAAGGTCCCCATATAACAGGCACTACAGTTGCATCTGTCACTACCGGTACAGATAGTGACCCTCTTGCTTTTGGACTCTACCTTCAAAGTCAAAATGACAAGTAAGGGTCAGAATCATGTCCACAGCAATCTTGCAGAAAGAACTCATAACAAGAAGAGAATTTTTTGAAACTAATGGAGTAAGGCCGGCAGTCTGCTGCTGAGCTAGAAGAGTAACCAGAAAAGCAGGCAGCATGAGCGGGTGGCAGTCTGAGGGGGCTGCGAACAGCCGGGAGGTTAAACACATTAGCTCAGTGTCTGTTTTGCTGAGCTGGGTCAGGCCTGCAGTTGTGGGGTCCAGTGCTCTCAGCCTGCCTGTTTATGGCTCCTCCCTCAGCTGGCTTACTCCTCTCTGGATTACACAGCACTCTCTCCCCAGACTCACGATGGTTTATAGTCTCCCTACCTTTGAAGAGAGGACCAAGTTTTAAAAAGTAGAGGAAAACTGCATACTGCTGGGTCACTGACTTCCCCTCTCGTAACCTTGGCTCTCACCCACCTGGGCAGAGTCTTTCTTCTTCACTGTGACCTCCAGGAACTTGGAGGAGTGTCTAAGCCTGAGAGCTGAGTCAGCTCAGTGGTTATTAACCCTTGGCTGCAGGCTGGAATCACCTGAGGGAGCCTTTCAATAGACCCGTGCACAGCTCCAACTTTGATGTTCCGGGCCCAGGGCGTGGGGCCCGGGCTGTTCAGGTTTTAGCAGTAAAAGTCCTACATTCTGGGAAGCCCCTCCATCTACAGCAAATTGAGATAGCTGGTCACCCCGGGCCTGGTCATCAGGCAGGTTTTCTCCCCCCACCTTTTTCCTAGGAAATTTTAAAGTGCAGCCAGGTAGAGAACCACTGTTAGCTTAGTCTTCCAAAACGAAGCGTCTGCCCACGTTTTAAACACTCTATTCCCTGTGACAGGGCTCAGAGCTTGGTGTAATTCTCACTGCAGAGAGAAGGTGATCTCAAAGCTGTTGGCTTCATGGGAGTCATTAAATATGTGTGGAATACATGAGTGAAATAAAAGAAATCTGATGGTTGTAGAAATATACCAGTTTACTTTGCCCATAAGAAAATATCAGTGATGCTGAAAAACATTTGAAGGAAAGAAATGAAAAGACATGGGTTAGAATATACAATTATGGCACATCCATACAATGGAATATTACTCAGCAATCACACGGGCAACAACATGGGAGACTCCAAAACCATTGTGCAAAGTGAGAGAAGTCAGAGAGAAAAGGAGGCAATGTTCAAATCTGAAATTAAAAAAATGTGACCTAGACAGATATACAGGGCAGGCATTTTCCCTACCTTGAACAACAACTACTGATTTCCCAGACAAGGGCTGCCATATTTGCTGAGTATAAAGGACCTTTCTTACACAATGGAATATTACTCAGCCTTTAAAAAGAAAGAAATCCTGTCATTTGTGACAACATGGATGAACTCAGGGAGCAATACACTAAATGAAACAAGTTAGAGAAAGACAAGTACTGTATGATCTCACTTCTAAGTGGAGTCTGGAAGAAAAAAAAGTTGAACTCATCAAAACAGTAGGAAAATGGCTGCCAGAAGCTGGGGGTTAGGGGTAGGGGAAATACAGAGAGGTTGGAAAAAGGGTATAAACTTTCGGCTGTAAGATGAATAAGTCCTGAAGATCTACTGTAGAACATGGTGACTGTAGTTGATAACACTGTGCTGTATAAGTGAAATGTGCTAAGAGTAGAACTCAAATGTCCTCACTCACACTCACAAAAAGATAAACATGTGATGTGACTGATGGGTTCATTAACTACTGGGAATTATCAAATCATCATGTTATACACTTTAACTACCAGGTGATTTTATTTGTCGGTGATACCTCAGTAAAGCTGGGGGGGGAGAAAAGAGAAGGACTTTCTAGAGGCTTCCCCAGAGGCTGTGGCTGGTGCAGAATGCAGAATCCCTCTTTTGGGATGGCACCTCACCTGTGCTTCCAAAAGCCTCTGCTGCTTTACCTAGAGAGAGAACGTGTGGCATCTCACAAAACTTTGGGGGCCCTGAGGGGGACAGGAGGGCTACGCTGCAGTGGAGGCACCCTGGCGAGTTGATGGCCCTAATTGTGCCACAAATGAATCACGTGTCTTACTCAAAGACTCCACTGGCTCCCAGCTGAGGTTTCCCTAGCCATTAACTGCGAACCACCTACTCAGAGTTGGTATAAGCTTACTAAATCATGATCCAGACCACGTACCACTTCAAAGAAATGGAGAGCCACCGGGCTGCCAGGCAGTGAGACGGGTGCAACTGGAGACGTTACAATGCGTGGCTTGCTTTTTCCTGCAAGCTTCTGGCGTGAGGGAACCATGTGAAACATTTAACCAGTAACTAGTAAACACGGCACAGCTGTGAGGGTCCACGGGGTGCTGTAGGAAACAGCCCTGGGAGGCTTTTGGGGAGGGGGAGGCTGTCGCCCTTGGGGACTGGCTGGAGGTCACCAGGCGGAAAGGAAGGGGGTGATGGGAGGGTGAGCCCACTCTGATGGTGTGGGAGGCGCACACCAAACTCTGCCAGAGAGATGACTTCAACAGAGGCTGAGGCCACCCTGGGGAGGCCTGAGAAAGCGACAGACTAGGGAGTGTCCCTGGAAGGTTTCTGAGCAGAGGAGGAGCAGGATGGAGAGAGACTAGACAAACTGGCAGTCAGTTATGAGGCTTCTGAAGTCATCCAGGGACACATTAATAGTGAGCACAGAAGGATAGGGAGGGAGGCAAGGGGGGGGTGACAGAGGAAAACGAGGAGGAGGAGATGCTGCTGTCCCTCCCCTGTCCCCATGAGGGCAGGCTGTCTCCCTTAACCACCCTGTCGTAGACCAACAGAGTTCATGGGAGGCTGGAGCCTCAGGTAGGGTCTCTTGCTCATCGAGGAGTTTCAGGCTCTCACTTCCTTTCCGCAGCCCCCAAGCCCTCGCTCTGCTCTGTGAGAAGAGTCTCCGGTGGGGAAGGCAGGCCGCGGCCGCCCTCACCTGTGAACAAGGGAATCTAGTACCTGTTGGGCCTCACCTTGTTCTTGGCAAGCACGTTGGCTCCTGCTTTAACGAGCAGCTTGGCTGATTGGCTGAAACCGTGCCAGGACGCCTCGTGCAGGGCGGTGTTCCCGTCCTGGGGAGAACACACGGGGACAGAGTGCGTGTTACCCAAGACCTGATCCATCTCATTGTAGTCAATACACCGCAGTGTATTTTAGGACACGGCCCAGGGCCTTTCTCAGCGGGGGTGTCTCACCTGAACCCGGGAAGTGGTCTGAGTGGCCAGTTTCTCCATCCTCCCGCCAATGGTACATAACAAGTACCATTCTAGGTGCGCTCTAGACTTCTGACACACAGTGGGTGACTTAAAGCATTAGGGCTTAAGCCTCTCTGGGAACCCTGGTTGAGGAGGGCTCACGTTTAACAGGAAGCCACATCAGGACGCATGGTGTGCCTTCCTCCCCGCCTCTGCCGCCCCGGGGCTGCTCTGCTCTGCTCCTGGCCCCAGAGAGAACCCTGCGAAGATCAGGCCAGTGAAGAGTCCAGCTTTGTGCTTTCCAGGGGCCCAAGGGCAGATAGGTAAATCCCACTGCTCCTTTTTCTTCCCCCAAATTTAATCTCACCCAGCTTGATCCAAAAGCCTCAGGGCCCCAAACAAGAGAACAGGCACTGAGGACAGTGATTTGTAAATAAGGCAAACAAGTGTCCTCAATAGGCGGCTTTTAAATAAAAATCAATCAATTAAACACAGCTTGCATTTGCTTAACTTACTACTAAAAAAAGAACTATTAAGTGCAATGCATTGAGTGGGGTGGGGTGGGGCCCCGAGGTAGGGGTGAGGGGAAGGGAAGCATCAAGAGAAGAGGCAGAAACACCCTCTCTGCTGTTCCGGGCCAGGCGCAGGGCGGTCAGCCAAGGGCAGTGCAGAGACAGTCTCCAGTTGTGTCCGGGCTCTGGCTAAGACATTCATTCAACACACCAAGACACAGGCCTGACTGCTGACACCCACAAGGGGAAGTCTAGGGTCTCAAAGGCCAGGGAGTTGGGGGATTCTGGGTGCTGGTAATGATCCTTGATCTAGGGGTTCACACAGAGGTGCTCAGCCAGGGCAAACTCACTGAGCTGCACACTTACTAGCTGTGCACTTTTCTGTGTTACACTTTAATGAAAGGCTGTCTAAAAAAGTAAACAGGGGTTGAACTGCACTTAATTGCAAAGTTCCATGTTTTAAGACTGACAATTTAAAAACACTGGATTAATATATGTCATTGGGATTTTTTTTCTGAAGAATTGATTTTGCTTCCTTTTTTCTTCTAATATAGTTTAAATAAATTAACTCGCTCAGTTATTAAAAAAAATTAAAAAGGAAACAGTCTGGGACACATCCCTTCCCCTATACAGGCCTCCACAGGTCATTACTTCTAGATTTTTTTTCTTCACCATCTATATTTGGTTGCCCACTGCTGCCACAGAACAGGGGGAAGGATTTAAAACAGAACAAAACAAAACAAAGCAAAAAAACACCAATATGCTGGGATATCAGATACTCTTTCAGAGGGACCCTGGGCTGATTTTGTCACGTTAAATCACAAGTGAGCAACAAGACTCAGGAACGCCAAGGTTTCGCACACTGGGAAGTTCCCAAAGAGGGTCCTCAGGCTGATGGCTCCCACTTCCCGCCTCACCTTGTCTTGTCGGTCCAGAGCACAGCCCTCCTGGATGAGCGCCGCGATGACCTCGGTGTTCCCCACCACCGTGGCCCGGTGCAAGGCGGTCTGATCCCCCTGCAGGTGGCGCAGGGGTGAGGACAGGGGTCAGCTCTCTTCCCCCATCACCCCCCCACCCCCTCACTCCTCCACTGGACACAAGGACATCCCCCATCACCGCGGGCCAGCTGGGCTCTGTGGTCTAGTTAGTAGGCAGTGCGTGCCAGGAAGAGTCATTTTGTTCACAAACTCAGTGGGAACCTGAAGCCAACCACAGAACAGCCCTCGGCCTGTCCAGAGCCAACCTCAGGATAAGGGTCAGACCCTCACCAGCCAGCCCAGAGGAGGGCAGTGTGACTGTCACATCTGTGAAGAGTGGGTGTGAGAGCCGGACTGTGTGCACTGTGCAGTAAAACCAGCGGTGCCTGGAATGTTTATTCCTTTCTGAGTCCTCCCATTCCTGGCAGTCAGGGACTCAACTCGCCTGCTCTGTCAGTTAGCAGCGCTGATAACTGGATGGCGGATGTGTGATTGTTGATTGGACTGGACCTGGCCAAGAGCAATGCCGGGGTTACCCTTGGTCATCCGAGGATGCCAGGGACTCAAGCTATCCCTGCACATCTCTAAGAAGCTTCTCCTGGTGTTGCCTGACAGTATCCTCTCTGATTTAGAAAGCATTTGACCCCTTTCCCTGTGATCAGATTCCTGAGGTTGCCAACCTTCTCTTTCTCCGTGCGGGCACCAAAGGGAACTTGACTTTTCCCCTAACTGCAGTTGAGAGAAGGACTAAAACTCCTAGAGCTAAGACGGTCAAGTCTGTAACAAGAGAGAGGACTAAAGTGTCTGAGCACATCTCATCTCTGACAGGCACTCAGGAAGTCAAGTAGAGACAAATCAAATCCAGCCTGGGAGCTGCCTTGAATGGGGAGGTGGGTGAAGAGTGAGGAAAATTCCTGGTCGGAAGAAAGAGGCATAGGGACAAGAGGGTCTGGAGATGTGAGTGGTGCACAGCCTTGAGAGACACCTGTCACCTCACTGGGCCTCAGGTTCTTTACCTGTGAAGGGAGGGAGTTGATGATCCCCAAGGTCCCTCCCTTCCCTTCCTGGGGTCTATGATTTGGTTGGCAAGAGTTTTTCATAGAGTTTCCTGGTGAAGCACTGGAAGGGTAAAGGACATGCCCCAGGACACCCCTGGTCCTTAGCCCAAGAAAGGAAAGAGAGAAAATTAGAAGACAGAAAATACAGAGGGGTTTAAAAGGCAGATGCACTGCTACCTAGAACTAACATCATCAAATGCTGATTTTACTTACTAACCTCCCTGGAATCTACAACAAATGACAATGCACTTTAAAAGCACTTAATCCCCCCAAAGTTCTGGAGATGGATGGTGGTGATGGGTGCATAACAATGTGAATATACTTAATGCTACTGAACTATACACTTAAAAATGGTTAAAATGGTCAATTTTATGTTATGTATAGTTTATCACAATAAAAAAAGCACTTAATCCTATTTAAAAACCAAATTCACATTTTAAAAAGCATTCTATTTTATTTATTTTGTTTTTGTTTTGGGGGGAGATAAATTAGGTTTATTTATTTACTGATTTGATATTAATGGAGGTCCCGGGGATTGAACCCAGGACCTGGTGCATGCTAAGCATGCACTCTACCACTGAGCTATACCCTCCCCACAAAATTCACATTCTTAAAAAAAAAAAAAACTCCCTTTAAAAATGAATGAGGGGAAATGATTTTTATTTTGTCCCTTATACTTTATAATACTTTTCAACTTTTTAGTATAATTTTTAGCATCAGGAAAAACTTCTATTTATTAAAAGTCTAAGCTGTACCAATATACCAGTAACTGGACTGTCTATGTCTCAGAATCGTTTCTCACTGTTTATTTGTAGAATTTAAGGGATTTCTGCAGTGATGGGTCAGGACCTCCAGCCCTATTACCATGATTCCATCCACTGTCCACTGCATTCTATCACAAACCCACCCTTTGGCATCCTAAGCTATTATCCCATTATAAATTAGGTTTTGACTTGGTTTTCTTTTCATCCACCTTTCCAAGACCCCTAACTCAAAAAGGACACTTTCTGTGTGCCATGCAGTCAAAAGAAGAACATGGCCACTGGGTCAGTGATTGCACAAGGCGTGTGAAGCTGTTACATATTCACTTCAAACATCTTAGGAGGTGTTTCCGGATAAGGTGGACTTAAGGCCCAAACAAGTAATCATGAAAAATTGCCCAGCTTTAACTTTTAAAAACTTCTATAAGATTTTCCAAGCCCGTTTCCCTACCGGAATGGTTATAGGTTTCCCAGAATGGACTTCAACTGCAATTGATTGTTTCTGACCTGATGGTGCCCTATTCTCAGCCACAGAGGTGAGGCTGCAGCCCGCTCCTTCAGGGTAAATACCGACTTGGTCAGATTTCTAATTGCTAGAGAGAGGCCTTTTAAGATTTGCACAAACTGCGGCACTCTAATTAGCACTCCTTGGACCAATCACAACGACTTATGTACGTAATGAAACTTAACCATTCTGTCTGTGCTGTGCATGAAGAGTGGGTTGTGTCCGCCACTCTTGCCGGTAAGTCATCCCGCAGCCTAACCTAAGCCTGGCTTTAGGTCAAATGTTTTATTGTGTTTCACGAGCTGCCACTAAATCAGGAGTTTGGAGCCAGAACGTCATTGTTATTTATTACTTGCTCTTAGCATGAATCTCCAGTATTTGCTTCTCTAGAGATAATTTTCCTTTGTGAAACTCTGGCTCAAAGCAAGAAGCTAAATCTAACTTCTAGGTCAGCCCTTAAAAGTAAATTTTCAGATGGATGATCAAGACAAGGAGATCTGACGACTGGTGTGAGGCTGCGGTGGGAACACAAGGGTCTTCAGCCCCTGGGTACAGGTGACTCCTGCGTGACCCCTTTCCTTGCAGAGACCCTTTGCAGCACTGCCTGTCTCCAGGCACAGCTTCCCCTTCGTCTTCAAGCCCTCAGTCACAGATCCCACTTACAGCCTGGGTCCTTGCCCTGTCTGTCTGATAAACATGGCTGAAGTGAAGGGCAAAGCCAGCCTTTCCCCACCCTAAGTGGTCCTTGAGCGGGACCATTAGCTTTGCTCACACCATGTGGGGTGGTTCTGGAAGCCTGGGCACTTTCTCTGGTGTGTAAAACCAGCCACCCTGAAGCTACCAAGGGGAGCATTAGAGGCTGAGAGACATGAAATACATAAGCCAAGGGCCACCTCGTGCACTTGGCCTCAGGGCTACTCTTCCCCCGAACACAACACAACAGAATACCTGAGACCCTCGACTGAAATGGGGTCAGTTACCTGTGGAGCAACTCTTTCTCCTATAAAATGAAAACTGACTTGAAGTATTTCCTCTTTGAAATATGACACAGAAAAGAACAAAATGTGTCCTTAATATATACTTACTAAGAGGCGAAAGCAACAACTCTGACATCTTTATTTCTATACAATCTAAATATCAGCCATGAAGTTCTGACACTTGGGAGGGGGTGAAGGTGGGACGAGTGCAGCACTCTTAGCAGCACTGACTCATTTACTCAGTGAATATTTACTGACCCTCTCCTGCGCTCGAAGCGCCATGGCATCTAATTCTCTCATTTAACTGATTGAAAAAACTAAGGCCCAGTGTGGTTCAGGGCCTAGCCTCAGATAATCAGCTAATTCGGGGTAGCACAGCTGGGCCAGAATTCAAATTGTGAAGGCTTTTTGCGCTCAGCCCAAGCTGTTTGCAGCCTGTGAAGTCCATCAACCTTAAAACAGGCCTAAAAAAAAGATCAGGTGCAGGTTGAGGCTATAGCTCAGCTGGTAGAGCACATGCTTAGCGTACACAAGGTCCTAGGTTCAATCCCCCTACCCCTACTAAAAATAAAACAAACAAGTAAACATAATTACCTACCCCCCCAAAAAAAACCAAAACAAAACAAAATTACATGCTTGTTAAAAAAAAAAGTGCTTCTGTGGGATGGGGCTGCCTCTTTACGGCATCATCAAGCTTAAGTGCTTTTAGCACAGTGCCTTGGCCAGTACGGGCACCTGAGAAGTATTTGTTGAAGAAGCTTCTGCCAGGAAACTTGCAGAATCAGCAACCTAGCACTTTGGCAGTTTGATCTGGAACACGCAAATCATGTTCCACAGTGACTGTGAACTGACCTGTTTGCAAAGTACATGAACTGCCACCTCTCGATTTTTCTGACATCAGTGTTTCTTATTTTGGGATTTTGTTTTTAATTTTGTTTTAACTTTTTTCTTTGTGGGGAGGTAATAAGGTTTGTTTATTTATTTATTAATTTTTAACGGAGATACTGGGGATTGAACCCAAAGACCTCGTGCATGCTAAGCATGCACTCTACCACTGAGCTATACCCACCCCACCTCTTACTTTGGGAGTTAAGAGGTTTGCAATATTTGAGGTCTAAATCTTTGTTCTGAAATGCTTTTAGTGTTCTCTCCCACATGGTGAAAAAGAGTGAGCACAGTGTGGGCAGATTCCAAAGCCAAGCTCACAGAAGGAACCCAGTCATGCAAAGGTGGAACACGCCCCTCTTCTGGAGGAATCCCTCCCAGGTGGCACAGGCAGACACGTGGCAAGGAAGCTCGAGACAGGGTAGGTGCTCAAAGCAATTGCTGACCTCTTTTTCTCTCTCTGATCTTCTAGGGTTCTTCCTAGCCTTTCTTCTCTGGTTTTTCTTAGTTTTTTCTTCCTTCATGCCTTTTACCGTGGCCACAGGGTCCTGGACTATTTCTGAGGTGGGGGCTGTGTGATTGCTCATGGACCAATCAGAGATGGCGTGAGAGCTCCAATGAGCGTTGACAGGGTTGGCAGGAAGCAAGAGAGAACTTGCTCCTGGAGTTGCATATTCTAAAGAACTGGTTTCCACGGGTTCAAATTCATAATAATCCCACTCCAGGGCACTGGAGGTCATTCTTCAACTAATTTTCAGCCTTTACCATGATATAAAGAACAGTATCTGTAGAACATGAAGTTAGGAGTAAATTCTTCATAACATTAACATCCTCTATTTATACCCATCATCCAAGACAGATAACTTCTGAAATAATTCTGAAATAAATACTTAATCTCCCAGATTTTTAAAAGAATATCCATAAAGAGTTTTCCTCCTTGAATTCCTCCATGAGTTTCAAGGCTGATCAACAAGCATAGTAAACATATAGAGGACAGACATGAACCATATTCTGGCCAGAGCATTCCTTCAGAACTAGTAAAGGTCAAGTCACCCTTCTCCATTCCCAACTGTTTTCACACTGCCTTGTTGCTGTTGTGTTTTTGTTTTGTTTTGTTCTAAGTTGTCTAGGAGAAGCAATGTACACATTGTCTACAGCAAGGGAAAGATGCAAAAAAAGAAATAATTCCAATAAATGAAAGAGACAGTCCCTCTCTAAAAGAGAGCTGGCTTTCCTCCTGCGGACATGTCCCCCTGTGGTGACGTTGTGAAAATTCTTGATTCTTTTACTTCCTATCTTGCCTGAAAGAAACAGCAGCAGTTCTAGAAAGTCAGCATGACTTTTGCTGCAGAAGAACACAGTGATACTCAGAGCTCAATACCTGAGGCAGTAGTGTTGAGTCGGGATAGGTTAGTATGCCTGGTATTGCAGCCTTGCCACCATGGCAAACAAGGGCTTTAATTATGCAGAGAAGACCAGATACATCCCCGCATATCTGCACCAACATCTCAATGCTCTGCCTTTCCTGTGGTCAGAATCTCTTCTCTCTCCCTGTATTTTTGCTCTCGTCATGTAAGGATAAGATATAATCAGGTATGTTATGATGACTATAGTGCAAAGAAGGAAAAAAGTATCGAGACCCAAGGTAAACATCAACAGCTTAAAGCTAAATCAGCATCTTTTGAAAAATAACACCCTTGCTGACTCAACAGATTCCAAATATAACCAGAAATTTATGAATGACAGCGGACAGCCTGCTGTCCATTTATAAAACAATGACATATTCAGTTATTTCTTTGAGCATGCTGTCATTCTCATGTGTTTGCCAAGGTTTAGGACATTACACAGAGACCCAAAGAAGACTAGAAGCACTGGTGACCCACAACCTAGCACACCTGAGGGTTTGAAATTTGATTAACATTCTATAACCACAGTTATCAAAGGTGAACCTGGAAAGGGTTGTAACTGCAAACTCTCCCAAGATTCTGTGTTCCTCACAAAAGTTCTTGCGTTATCATCAGGACCTTCTGCTAGTAGCCCACTGGAGGACAATACACATAACGTTTTCTGAATCTCCCCTCCCTGAAGACCCAACAGGGCAACCCCAGGTACTACATGACTCCATGCCAGCCACTGCTGATTTACTCAGGAATGGATTTTTGACCCCAAAGGAGTCAACTGGAATCTCTTTCTAGATAATCTGACTCAAGAAACTCAGAGACTGAGTCTCAATCATGGTGGTTGCACTAGAGTGAACTCTTTCTGGAGGCTACCTTTTTCTCCAATTCCATGAGATCAGTGTCCTGTTTTTTTCCTTTAAGTTGATTCTTTTTAACTAAATGTATACTGAGTAAGAGAAATCAAGGCAAGAAAAGAAAAAAAATTTAGTTTTTAAGCCCCACCTTTTCTCCAGGGGCAAGTTTGGTCAACAACACACTTCTAGCAGGCCTTGCCCACACTCACTTGTGAGTGTGTGTGTGTGTGTGTGTGTATTTGGTGTGCTCCTTTATACTGAGACAGGACACAGACAAAATGCCCTTCAAGGCTCTGTACTTAAATAATACTAGATAGGAAATAATAGTACTAGATGGGAACCTAGAAGGGAAAAACACCCTCCACTCCCAAACTCAAACTTGCTACTGAGGATGGGTCCCAGAGCAGGTCTTCAAGAGGAAGTTCTTCCTACTAAGATGCAGCTACAAAGTGCTGGCAAGCATCCGCTACTGTCCCCACCCCCAATATCTGGTTACATGCTGTGGGATTCCAGGCAGACAAGCCTCCTTGACAAGCATCCCCTGATAGAATGATGGCTTCTACTCACATCATCCTGGACATCGAGGTCGCAGCCAGCCTTCAGCAAGATCTGGACCACAGAAAGATGGCCCTTGTTGGCAGCAAGATGCAGGGGGGTCCGGCCATGCTGTTAACGCAGAGCAAACACTGATTTCAGAACCAGACATCACAACCACTCCCCTGGGGGTGGGGGCCTAGAGCAAGGTTTACACAGTGGCACTCCCTGCCTCCTTCAGTTTGGCAGGAGATACTTACGGATTTACCCAGAATTCAAGTTTGTCTCGGTTAACCTTGGCTATTGGCATTGTGATCAATGAACAAAATATGCTCAAAATGTGAAGACTTCCTTCAGTGCATCATTTCTACTCCCCACTCACCCAACTAGGAAAGTGAAGGGTTTCATGTCTTCTCTTACTTCCCCACTGGTTGGATACTCAGGGTTGGTTAAGAGGTCACATTGAATCTGACAGGGTAAGAGATGGGACAGCAGCAAAGGGTTAAGTTAATCAGTCCCAGAAAAGTCTGGTTAGTAAGTCCTCAAAACTGAAAATGCTATGCAAGCCATCAGAACAGATCCTCCCTGTTTTAAAAACAAAATTTAAAATTACAAAATATTTCAGCCATTTAAAAATATGAATACTATTTTTAAATGTACATACCCACAAACGACTTTAAGAAAAAATTAGAAAAACTGTAGCCGCCGCTCCTTGTGAACCCCTTCCAGATCTCATCTCCCCTTGTCCCAGAGGTAACCACTCATATTTGGTGTTTGTTACTCCTTTGCCTTTCATTTCATTTTACTACATGTTTGCAGCCATACACAATAGATAAATATTGTTTTGATTGTCTTCAAACCTTACATAAATTGTGTTAAACTGTACAATACCATTTAGCAATTTTTTGGTTCAACACTATATTTTTGAGTTTTTAAAAAAATTGTCAGAGCGGTGGGTATAGTTCAGCAGTAGAGCATATGCTTAGCACGCACAAGGTCCAAGGGTCAGTCTCCAGTACCTTCATTGAAAATAATAATAATAATAATAAATAAAAATAAAAAATATTGTCACAAGTACTGCCAGTTCATCATTCACTCACTCTCCCACTGATGGGTTCCAGACTGCTCTCAGCGGTTTGCAGGACACATGTGTGTGCACCTGAGTAGGCTTCTCAGCCTGTCCCTGGGTCATAGAGACAACTGTTCCCTGCAAGCAGGCTCCTGAGCTATGACACGGCGGAGGACACCCAGAATAACCCTCCTCAGTGTAAGTCAACACTATCTGGAGAACCGACCTTGCCAAACTCCAAATTCTCCAAATTCCGAAGGAGACATTATGTTCCCTTTGCTTTCTCCTTCAAGTTCACCGTGAAGAATTGTTTCCACCTCTGCTCCAAACAGCATTTAACCACAGCCCCCACCTCTGCCGAAAAAATCCCGGAGGAATCAAGAGTCTCACATGGCCTTGGGCCTTTTTAGCATCTTGATAAAACTTCCCAAAGACTTTACTAATATTCTAGCAGGATAAACCCGTTTATGATCTCCATAAAGTGCCGGCTGGCCATGGGTAACCAGCCTTGAAGGAAACCAGAGATAGCAGACAATAAAGGATCTTAATTTCAACCCACGAAATGCAATCAAAGCATTAGAATGATTATGGGAAGAAAGAGGTCAGAGCTCACTTTAAAATTAGAATTCTTAATTAAGAAAAAAAGTTTCTCCCAAGAAAGTGGGCTATAAAAAGCCTTCATAAAACAGCCATGTCTGGGATGAGATGAAGGCGTGACCTTCCCTGGCTGGCGATGATGCTCCGCACGGCTGAGTAACCTTGATTCCTCAGACAAAATGTCCACAGCTGATTAGATGGAACAAAACAACCTGGTTCCACTCAACGGGCCTGGCCCCAGGCTCCATCTGCCATCATGTGTCCTTGTCAAGGATGCTGAAATCAGTGGCCTTCACAAAGCTTCTAGGGCATTCTGAAACAAAGATGTGTGTGCTGTGAGGAAGGCTGACAGGAGTGGGGGACACAAGTGCTTCTGAGGAACTGGGAAGTGTAGACCACGGCGGGGAGGAGCTGCCCCCCAGAGAGGCTGGAAAGGAGGCCACAGGCCGCAGGGTAACAGGTCAGGTCAGGGCAGCCCCGAGGAACAGCCTCGTCGGCAACCAGGTGTTACTGCGTGGAAGCTGAGGCCCGAGGAGGCAAAAGGGTTTCCCCAAGTGAACACAAATAACCAAAGGCAGGAGAAGGAAACACTGATGCGGCTCAAACCATGTCACATCCAGAAAAGCACTTTAGAAACTCTGTATCACTAACAAGATGGCCCTTCCTACTCCAAGTCAGCAGAGGCCCCTCTGGAGAAAGGAGAGGCCAGAGGCCCTGGGGCCCGACAAGCCTAGTTCAAACCCCAGCTCTGACTAAGAACACCTGTGTGATTGGTGCAAGACATGCTCTTCAGCCCATCTTCTCTGTCAAACAGGAATAGCCTTCACCATCCACCCCCTAGGCTTGAAGTAGGATAAATGAGGGAACATGCACCACCTACCACGGGTTTCCCTTCCCTCCAACTGTCCTCAGTCCTCACCCCTGAAGACACCCCAACTATCCCCCTCCTGGACACCTGGACACCTTTACCTTAAAGATCAGTGAGATATTTTCAATGGCACAGACCTGGGCAAAGAGTTGGATCTCAGATCACCTGGACAGCGAGATGAGCCCTAGCTGGAGGGTCGAGGTTCCTACCAGCCAGTTCTGATCTGCTCATTCACTTCCATTTTTGAAATACAATCCAAGGTTCTAAACCTCCATGTCTCTCTGGAAGGGCCTTCTTTACTGGGAACAATCTTCTCCAAACCATGCCTTCCCCAGTTCTCCAAGAAGAAATGTCCCGGGCTTGTGTTCTCCACTCCTACAGCACTTCGGCTCCCCCTCAGGAAACCACCACAGTCTGTTCTGAGTGTCACCCTGGGCGCTGGCTTCTCTTTCCAACCTGGCCGCCATCTCCCTGAGGGCAGGACTGTGTCTTCCATGAATGATGAAGCAAGTTGGCTCTTGGGCAGTATAGGGCCATGCCAAAGAGGCCTGTGTCCCTCAATCACAGGGCAGGCCGGGGCCACCAGCAAATTCCACAGTTCGGGGCTTGACCAGTGAAGTGGAGAGTCCGGGTGATTGCAGACTTCAAGTTCTGGGATGTCTCAGCCTCTCAGAAGAGGTGTAGACATCCTGGGGGCTTTTTACGAGCATTTACACAGCTTCAACAGTGACACTAGGGCTTCTCTGAGGAAGGTCAGCACCGCCCCCACATGCCTGCCTTCTTTTCTGGCATCTGATAAAACTAGTGGCAAAGCCAGTAGCAACGAGTTTCCCACTGACCCTGAAGCTGTCCACTCCTGTCCCCTGGGCTCTCCTAACACCACCCCTTACACACACACACACACCACCCACCAAAGTAGGAGAGCAAGCAAGAAAGGAAGACAAATGTGCTTGGTTTTCCTGAACACTCTGTAGCGAAAAGCAACAAAAGTAGAGTCATTCAGGGGAGTAGCTGTTCCTACCCTGCACACAAGGATACTCCAAGGCCATGCCTGATGAATGGGGAAGGCTGAACCCCCCTAAGTGTGAGGGGCAAATAAACACTGATCCTTAGAGGGGACTTTGAATGACCCAGACTCAAGGGTACAACTGCTCTCATCTCCATGACCCCCAGGACTGGCCAGTGGAAGAAACAGAAACAGGAGAAAAGACTGTGTACCATGGATGATAAGTGGAAGAACTTTCTGGAACATTGGTTTGTCTGGGTCATATCCCAGTTCAAAGACCAATTCAGCCCAACTCAACCCAGGCCCTGGTGGGCCCAGCAAGACCTGTAATGATGAGGACAAGAGCAAGACAGCAGCAGCCAACATTTATAGGATGCCTGCTATATGGTAGACACTATCTCAAGAATTTTATTAGCTCATCTATGTATTAGCTCAGTTGATCCTCCCAACCCTATGAGGTCGGCACTATCATTAAGCTCATTTTACAGATGAAGAAACTGGCACGGAGAGACTGTCACTGGTTCCATGTCATGCAACAGGCCATTTGAACCTGGATTCACCCCTATGCTGGTGGACCGCAGCCCCCATGCTCTGACCCACCAGGCTCCCTGTGGCCTGCTTGCTGTGGGGGTGAGGCTCTCCCCTGGCTCTGTGCTCCCTCCCAGGAGGCTCCCAAGACTCCCAGATGATGACTTCTGAGGGTGCTAGGAAATAATCCGGTTTCCTTAGAACCTCAGGGATGAGGAGAGAGGTTGCCCATTCTCCTTGTACATCTGAATTGCCTGGGAGGCTGGTCTGTTTGTCTGTCAGTCCACCTGTCCGGATGCCAGAGCCCCCTCCAGTTCCTGACTCAGAGCTCTGTGCGGTGCAGCAGCAGGGGTTCTACAGCCTCCCCAGGTGACTGTAATGAGTGACTGGGGCTGAGAACTACAGGACGAGATGAAGACAGACCAGCATAACCCTCCCCGGAGCAGCTACAGGCCCTCCGGGGAAACTGCTGTGTTGGGCCTGTCCAAGCGGGAGTCATTCCTCTAGCTACATTCCTCATGATGCTTTCATCCCCACCTGTCATATAGAACACTAAAAGACTGCATCTCCTCAACGCAGAACTCCCTGAGTCTTCAAAAAGTATATAAGCAAGATACTTACTAAATTTTTGGATATAAGCAATATAATGACATTACTAAAAATTTGGAAAGTAAAAGCAAATCATCTGTGACTCTACCACCCCATATAATGATTATCATCTTTATCAGTCTTTTCCCTGCATCTTTTCTATTGATGCTTTTGCCCAGTTACACTTCTAGGTCACATAAAACCAGCTTGCTTGTGCATTAATACTATGCCTTAAACCAGTGGTCCTCAAACTTTATTGGGCAGCAGAGGGCTTGTTAAAAGACAGATATCTGCCTCCCTCCACCTCCAGTCCAGGGTTTCTGATTTTGTAGGTCTGGGGTGAAGGCTGGGAATTTGCATGTCTGACAAGTTTCCAGGAGAAGCAGATGATGCTAGTAGGAGACCACATTTGGAGAGCCACTAACAGAAACCACTGGTTTTCAACCCTGTTTCACAGTAGAGTCACCTGAAAATAT